ACAACCAACATTTTCACTAGCATATATAATCTCTTACTTTCTAATTCATTTACTTACTTATGAGCCCAAGTACAGTAAAGCCAAAGCATATTCCACTTGCCTTCATTAGTTTGCAGCATTTGCACTGGAATTGCCATGGTAATTTTATATATAGGTTTTCTGCTTGCTAGTTGTGTTCAGTTATTTGGCCAGGTGGCATCCTGTCAGAAATACTCATCTTAAAGCTGACTTTCAGACTTCTGTGCTGGCATTTTTCAACCTTAAAACTCATCTGTGCTCTTATGCAGCAGATAGGCTACAAAAGGAGAAAAGGCAAGAAATCTTAATCTGCAATGTTTGGATAGAAATCATTTTTACACAAGTTTGTAATGTTTCAGACCTCATCTGCAGAGCTCTCAGTGCCAAGGCAAGTATTGATTTCAAATGCTGATATTAACAGAAGAAAAATACTCAGCATCTGCGGATTATTTTTATAGTACTTCTACATTTTGCAGACTTTCTCTATGAAGAATTTTCAACTTACAGAATTTGGGAAATGTTTGAAGAAAATTCTTACCACTGATGCACACAGTGTTTGTGGTTTTCTTGCATTAGGTTTGACAAGCCAAATTGCTTTATTAGTTCAAATGACTAACTTGAAACACAGCCAATTACCTATGAGTTACAGATTGATTCAGATACTGTATGTGCAGTCATTCTGTTAATTCATATAGTGATAACGTGACATTTCCTCTCTATTTTGTTTTTGGTATTTGCTTTTGCATGTTCTACTATATGAAAACCTTTCATAATTGTGTTACATTTGTATATATGCCAGGAGTAAATTTGACAAATGGTTGATTATTGCCAAGAGGTGATACAAATTTGAAAAAAAAATTCTGAAATATTTCTTACAGAAGTCCTATAGGTTATTTGTAAAAACAAGGAAAAACATGTCAGAGAACAACATAATGTAAAACACAGCACTACTAAAAATGCACATGGTGTACCATATAGCTGCATATTTTACTGACGGCGGAATTGGGCCTAGAAGTGCTTTTTCAAAATTTTACAGATTTAAACATGTATCTTTTGCTAAATCTACACATGAGAAAATATGCCGAGTAGCCATCCAAAAGTCATAAAATGGGTCTTTGTATTGAAATTCACTTATTAATTTTGCTTGGTACAAGTTATAATGAAAACAGAATGTCAATGTTTGCTTTTCCTCAGGCCATACCCAATGAATGTATTTGCTCTTTATTAGTTTGACTATTGCATAAACTTTGCAGGGCCAGGGTTGCTCATTTGACTTCCCGGGCTCTTTGTCTCCGAATGGATTATTTCATCAGTGTCAGGTACGCTGCTGTGCTGCGTTGCCTCTGCTAGAAATTAGATGTGGCATTATGGAGATTCCTACAAACAGCAAACCCTGGAAGTGGCTAGGGTCATCAATCTACCTCGCACTTTTGTTTTTGCATAGAAATAGTTCATAAAAGTGTCCCAAGGGATCAGGTCCAGGAGATACATTATTAGCTTTATTCTGTGATTAGGTAGGGCCATGATCTTGCAAATGCCTGTTTTATAGCTATGCAGGAGGCCGGGGTGCCTCCTCACGAATACAACCAGCTGCAGTTGCAGCAGCAGAGGCCAAAGGTGCAGGGTGACCTGCAAGAACCCTTTGGGATCCAACTCAGAGAACAACTTACAGCGAGGGTTGCTTCCWCCTGTTACTGCATTTACAGTTACCTCAAGCAACTAGACTGAAATTAGCTCACATGTCTGAAAATGACACCATTAGACTTCCATGTCAAAAAGTGGGTGTTAAAGGAACCCTAAAATTTGTATATCTCTGTTTTTTCTGTATAAGAGCTCTGTAAGAGACTATGAGAAAATGGTGAAGTACAGAGATGAGTGCCCGTCAGACACTCCTGAGCACTCAGGATAGCTTTGGTTGATGTATCCGATATCTGTGATACCTCTGGCAAAGTAAAGAACCAGGGACAGTATTAAATGGAGAGCAACAGCCCCACGGGATTCAGAGGCACAGGAACATTCGGCCTAGTAATGTATCGCTGAAGTAACTTGTGTGAAAACTGGTTCAGTTAATGGCATTAATTGCAACTTCATCTCACAACATGTAGGCTTAACCGTAAAAAGGTTTTTTGACTTGCTTTAGGCATAGTGCTGGAAATCAGCACTGAACAAAGGCCTACTCAGCACTAAATCAGCACTAAAAAAGGCCTACTTTGAAAGCAGCTAAGGGACTCAAATTCAAAGGATATTTGTTTTAAATATGTTCCTTGAGTATCTTTGTGAATGCTATTTCCTTTGACTACAATTTCCCAATCATGAAGGAATTTTCCAGGCAAAAGTARGAGAACACACGCCTGTAGTAAGGAAATGTGCTTGTCTGTCAGATGGGCAGACATAAATGAGGTCAGAGACTCTTGCTTTTCTGTTTTAGAAACCATCTTTTTTATTTGTAGTTACTTGGTAGCTTCTTCTTAAGGATTTACTGTGTTGGAGATGTGTGACTAYATGAGCATTTTACCAGACAGCAAAAGCCATGTTAATCACATCAAACCCATGCTACTCCGTATGGAGTTGTGTCCAGAACCACTCACAGCACAGACTTAACACTCGCTACAATATTAGGCATAGAGGGGAAACTGTTCTTTCCCTTGTGTACATGCTGAACAGGAGAAGTGTGGTTGACTCACTAGATTTTAGAATACAAACTAACAAACTGGATCTTCCAATATTTTTAATTGTCTTTTTTAACTGGATTATAGAAAGAGATTCTKAACAGGCATGAAAACATGATGATCTGAGAAAGATTTTTTCACCTTTTAAAATTCGTATTTATTTTTTTTTTTTAAGGAAACAATACTTGTATTGCTTGTACATTGCTTGTATTGGTTCTCAGAATACATTGCCTTACAAGCCTCCTATAAGCAAGATGAGTTTAATTGATTTCTCATTTCATGTGGCCATCTCGAGTTTGGGAAGCGCACAGAGCCGCTGCACAGCCCCCGCAGGGGYAGAGGGATCCCCTGCTCCTCCCGCCACAGGAAGGATGGTTTGGCCCATCGATGCAGCAGGCTTTTCCCCTAAGTTTGGACCAGATATGCTGAATTAATTTCCTAACCTTGGAATCAAGTAAAAAGAATAGGATGAAACCTAACAAGGCCTTGACTGAGCATAGCTGTGTTTTTGGCGTCTTGACCTTTGCTGAAGAATTGCCGAAGGAGGCTTTATTGTTTCTGCAATTGCCAACAGTATTACCAAATATTCTATGCACTTACTTGTCTGTGGTTACCTGAATGCGTATCACAAAGATCCACAAGGAAGAGCAGAATAATTCTTGCTGATTTCCAGTACGCTTATTGGGGTTCTTGACATTGGAGACACTAATTGTTACTTAGAATTGCTTTTAAGTCRTTTTAGATAGGTGAGGCACTTGAGGAAGCGATGTCTGCTCCAGTGCCAACACAAACACATCAAACCAGGAGTATATAGATGAGGCCAGCACAATTATCAGTGTGATTGACCCGTTTAGCTTAGTCTAGCTGAAAACTCTTCTGGAACAGAAGGATATCCATTAGAAATAAGGCCATTACATGAGATGTATTCTGCTGTCTCAAAAAAGAATGCAAAAGAAGTCACTTCAGGCCAGGAAAAAAGCAGCGGCCACCACAGAAGCTCCAGCTCCAGCTTCCATTCTGAAGCTCTGCTTAGAGAGATTTTCCTTCTAGAAACAGTTCATTCTCCTTTTCTGTGTTCCCACTGAATCTCCCAACCAAAGACGCAAAGGCGTTTGCTTGCCAGATGCAAAGCACATTTGCTAGATTGCAATCTGCTTGAAAGCATCCAGGCATGGACAGAGCTCTCTGAGGAGATAACCAAAGGTAGAAAAGCACTCTCTATCCATATCCAGGCACTCTCTATCCATATTTTAATCCTGCGTGGAATTAATTTCACCCACAAGTTTCCTAGAGCAAAAAGGCTTTGTCTCCCAAGAGGCAGAGGTTTTAAACTGGGGGAATAGGAGGGAATTTAGTCAGAGCAGTGGCTAAACGGTGGGGCAAGGAGGTGAGCTTGGCATTGAGGGCTATTCCAAGAGCTACAGCAGGATGGAGGCACTGCAAGAGCTGGGTGCTTACAGGGGAGGAAAGGGTGAGGTAGCCTTCTGGTGAGGTTAAACAGAGCTTCACAACCTCTGCATCACAGCTTTGTGGTAGGTACTTACTTAAAAGGAGTTTTTCTTACTGTAGTTAAGATCTGGGGATTAGGTTGGGGTTCTCTTGGGGGGCAAACAACCAACATAGAGCAGTATAAGATGCTTTTGACTATACTGCGAATGATTCGGTAATGTTGCTGACATTGTTTACTACTTGAGGACATTTGCAAATAAAACTGTGGCTCCATCCTTTCGATTGTATTTTTAGACATTCTTCTTTTGGGCTCAGGGCTCTGCCATACATTCCTGTGAAATTACAGGAACTGCAGTGACGAGCGTTTGCTTTCGGACAGAATATCATGATCTTTCTTCAGGAAAAAAAAAAAAARAAAAARMCTCAGTCACACAGCAGTGATCAAAGTGGGGTCTGTGTGCTGGAAAGTTGCTCTACTTCTCTTACTTCCCTTTTTTTGTTCTTTTTTTTTTTTTTTTTTTTCCCCCAAATCTCAGCCTTTTACGAGGTTGGCTGGTCCGAGGAGAGCTGTTGCCTCTGCCCGTGACCGCCACGGTGCCTGTGGCGGGGCGGCCACGGCAGCATCCCTGGCAGCGCAGCCTCCCTGTTCCTGGAAAGCGGAGCCAACGGGGAGGGGACGTGGAGCGGCCGCCACCGGCTCCCGCCACTGCTGATCCTCCGGGAGCCCCTTCCCCGGCTTCGCCCTGGCTGTCCTGCGTGGTGGGGAGGAACCAACCAAGCCGGGGCAACATCTGGGTGGCAGCGGCRGAGTGTCCCGGCGGGAGCCACGTCCCCAGGGCTTGCCGGGGGCCCAGCTCTGAGCGCTGCTGGGCACACAGCGGGAAGAAGGGGCTGCGAGGAGGCTGAGAGGACGGAGCAGGTAAGGGGGCCTGGGGCCCCAGCCAGCGCGGGCGCGAGCAGGGGGCTCCGTCTGCCCCCTCCTCSGGGCGGCTGTGGGGCCCGCAGCGCGAGCCTGGCCTGCAGTCCCCGCGAGGGCAACGCCGGGGGACGGGGCCCGGGGCTGTGTGGGGGTCTGGGGCTGCGTGGGGTCTGGGGTTGCACGGGGCCCCCCAGGACGTGGCCAAGGCGGCCGCCCGGGCGGCGCGCAGCCCCGAGTGGAGCCTCACTGCGCTGGAAATGCTCCCAAGGTCCTCGGATGTTCCCCCATGCCCGGCTTGCTCCTGGCTGGCTCCGCTTGCGGGTTGTTGAGGTGAGCTCCGTGGGCATGGGGCTGGGAGGCAGAAACAGCTTTGAAAGGGCTGCTGGTGCTAACATGCGGATGCCCCGCTCCTGTGCGTGCGGCTGGCTTTCCCCGTCCGGTATGGGGGCTTTGGTGCCTGTGGTTCTGAATCATGAAACAGGGATTTTTGCCACGTTAGGGGTAGGGCTCAAATATTCACTTCAGTTGTAAGTTTCTTGTGTTGCTTTCCTTCTTCCTCATCTTTGGATACTGCAAACTGAGATGTTCATCCAGTCTTAAATGTCAGGGTAAAAGCAACTGAACTTAAATGTAGTCATGCCTACTTACTAAATAACAGAAACCGTAAAATCAGATTATAGAAGTCCCTCTATTTCAAAATAGATTAATCCTTGGAAAAAGCCCCCTGCGTTTGTTCCATTTTCTTTCAATTTTCAGTCCAAAATTATGTTCGGCTCTCCTAATAGTGGTTAATATCTGACATGGTACCAAACATTTCATTATGTTTTCCATAGCTGTTTTTTTTTTTTAAATTCAGAGCTTAGGAACTAAAACATACTAGTACTTATAAGCAAAACATTCATATTTCTTTGTTTCTAACCCAAAGATCTGATAATTTACACACCCAAATCTTGTGATTTCTCAGTAACTTTGTAACTTTGTATTAATTATGTAACTGCTTTTGAGGATCCCTTAAATTATGACCTGCCTTGCACCATTTGTAACCATAAGCTGCTTGTAAACTTTTCCTTTATGGAAAAGGAATTTTGTAAAAGGAATATGTCCAATATCTGTTTTAGATGCAAAATCTAAATCTGGACTTTTCTTTTCCGAAGCTCACTCAAATGGCTTGCATCAATTTTCAGTGTTATTTATGTAGGCTTTTCCCTTTTTGTTTGTCAAACAAAAGCAGTCGGGTAAAACAGAGATTTCTCTCAGTTGTTGAGGATGTGGTGGAAGCAACTGCTGGGCAGAGAAAGTAAATGAAGTGAAGCCAAAACAACTATGGTGGTGTCTAGGTAAAGTCCTCAAGTCTTCTGTATTCATTTATATATCTTTTTCTGTACATTAGATTTGCCTGTACGTATCTTCTCACTCAGTACCACAAATGGCCAGGGTGGCAGCTCAGAAATGCACTTCAGGTTTTAGGGCTTAAAGCATAAATCAGTCAAGACTTTTCAGTCAAAACTCCTGTCATTTCAACTGGGTTGCGCTCTGCTTCTTAGCTGTAACCCCAACACTTTGGGGTTCACGTGCAGCAGGCAGCAGTGGTCATTGGGATCTCCTCTTCCCAGGAGCTCACTCAGCAAGGCAGCTTCCTAAGACTAGGGATTGTACATCACTAAACATTACTTTTGAAATACTTTGATTTTCAAGTGAGTGGCCCACAAGAACGGCACTCCTGACTTAGTGCATCTCACAAGCTGGACCTCGAGCTCTGGTGCTGCTTTTTCTGTCCAAAAATAATTTTTAAAAAGTCGCTCTTAATCAAATTATGACCAAATCAGGGCCTTCTGTAACATTTTTGTCTATCTTAGTAAAATACCCAAAACTATTTCTCTACACAACTTTGCACACAAAACATTTCTGTAATGCGGAGTGTGGCATCTGTAATGCCAATGGCTTTAGAGGAGGGTACAGCCTCTTGCTTGCAGATTCCCATCTAATGAGCACCAGGTGAACTAAAAGGGAACTATAAAGAGGAGCTATACCTGTTTCTCAGGCACATTTTGATTTTTCTAGTTGGGGTAATTTCATCTATTTCAATGATACTGATCTTCTTTCCAATGCCTTCTTGTTTGTTCTTTTCTCCTTATCTCCTGGCCATTCATTTTTCTTTTGCTCTAAATGTGTTTCCCCCATGCAGTAGATGCAGTGCATTTGGGTCTCCAGTCTACTTCTATCAGAGGACAGCAGAAGTACAGCTCTTACAAGTATCACCTATTTGTTGTCTAGCTATGAACTGTTGTGTGAGCATCACCTGGTTTAACTGAGATATTTTTTAGTTTTATTGTAAGAAAACTGAGTTCTCTCTATGCATACTGTTAAAACAAATATACTAATAAGTTTGCCTGTGTTGAAGCTAGCTCCCTTCCCATTTTATCAAGTTGGTGCTATTCTTAAGATGCAAACTCCAGTTCCATGGCACAATGTGACACTTCTGCTTATCAGATTGTGTTAGTGCCTGGTGATTCTTTAAAATGGGATCATCTTTGTCATACTCCATTTTTTGCCCAAAGGCACCTCAACATCTAGGACTCCACAAAATTAAATGAAATCTTCATGCCTTTTCTGTACAGAAACAACTGGTTGTGATGGTAATGGAATAACCCTTGCAAAAGAAGGATTATTGTTCATATTAAGATCAGCAAGCCCTGTGCTGCAGTAGTTCTTGAAAACCCATCCTTCTCCAAGAACAGATCATCTCTGTTTTATCTTTCTGACCTACTTTGCAGGTAGAAAATGTCATTTTAGCTACTAAAGTTTCCATAGTCTCCCCTCTCCCCTTTTTTCCCCTGTCTTTTCTTTTCGTCTTCTTGAAGGAGTTGGAAAGATAAATAACAAATGCAGCAACTTCTAACAGCCTGTAAAGGCCTAAGTGTTAAATGCAGGATTTTTCACTGTGCTCATTAATACTTATTAAAAATATTTGTCATGCCATTTTTAGTGGGAGCAGTCCTGCCAGCTTTACTGTCTTACGAGGGAGTATTAGATGTGGGTTGAATTGCTAAGTGGTTGGAAGAGGAATTCCACAAAGGCGATGCTACTATGAAGCAAATCATGTTTTCTTTCACCACATCTCCAGAGCTGGGCTCTGAGGTCTAAGGCTTCAGCTGAGATAACAAACTTTTGCTCTCTTGATGTTTTCCTGGCCTCTCTAGCACTAAGCTGAAGATGAGCACGCATGCAGGCGCGCTATGGGGAGGGACTGCACCTTACAGACTGGCCTGGGCTACTTGGGGCTGTGCTCCCGACGGGTAGTGTGGCTTCTGTTTGGCCACGGCTCTTCAGGGATGCGTGGAGCCCACAGATGTGGCCCGGCAAAGCGACGTGGGGTGTTTCACAGACCATAAAGATGATGAGAAGAACTGACTTCTTCACAGGAAGGGAGGATACGAGAGTTTCAGCACCTGGCACAATTCAGGTTGACGTCAGGAGGCAATAAGGACGCTACCCAAGCCCAGCACGTGGTGGCCTCYAAGGAGAGCTGACCTCCCACGGGAGCGAAGGGCTTGCAGGCAGGGCAGCCCAGTGTGGCAGCAGGTCCTCCCACCGTGCCACTTGTCACGGTGTGTGCGGGCCCAGCGGCTGCCACACACGAGCACGGCCGCGTCTGCGCCTGCAGCAGCAGCCTCTGTGTCTGCCGCGGCACCAAGCACCGCCGCGGGCGGCGGCTGCTGTCCCTGTGGGCAGCACATCCCGCTGTGTCCCCTGCAGCACGTCCCACTGTGACCCCTGTGGGCAGCACATCCCGCTGTGTCCCCTGCAGCACATCCTGCTGTGTTCCCTGCAGCACATCCCACTGTGTCCCCTGCGGGCAGCACGTCCCGCTGTGTCCCCTGTGGGCAGCACGTCCCACTGTGTCCCCTGTGGGCGGCATGTCCCACTGTGTCCCCTGCGGGCAGCACGTCCCACTGTGTCCCCTGTGGGCAGCATGTCCCGCTGTGTCCCCTGTGGGCAGCACGTCCCACTGTGTCCCCTGTGGGCGGCACATCCCGCTGTGTCCCCTGTGGGGAGCATGTCCCACTGTGTCCCCTGCGGGCAGCACGTCCCGCTGTGTCCCCTGTGGGCGGCATGTCCCACTGTGTCCCCTGTGGGCAGCACGTCCCGCTGTGTCCCCTGCGGGCAGCACGTCCCACTGTGTCCCCTGTGGGCAGCACGTCCCGCTGTGTCCCCTGCGGGCAGCACATCCCGCTGTGTCCCTTGCAGCACGTCCCGCTGTGTCCCCTGCGGGCAGCACATCCCGCTGTGTCCCTTGCAGCACGTCCCGCTGTGTCCCCTGCGGGCAGCACATCCCACTGTGTCCCTTGCAGCACGTCCCGCTGTGTCCCCTGCGGGCAGCACATCCCGCTGTGTCCCCTGCAGCACATCCTGCTGTGTCCCCTGCGGGCAGCACATCCCGCTGTGTCCCCTGCAGCACGTCCCACCGTGTCCCCTGCGGGCAGCACATCTCACTGTGTCCCCTGCGGGCAGCACATCTCACTGTGTCCCCTGCGGGCAGCACATCCCATTGTGTTCCCGGCGGGCAAGGAAGCTGCTGCTTTGCACCGGGGACAGTGACACAGTCGCCCCACGGGAGGCAGGGGCTGCTGAGTTCCCACACGCAGGGAAGGGGCTGCGGTGGCCTTGGTCAAACAGAGTCCTGCAGGAGGTAGCATTCTTATGCATGCAATAATTTAGTTACATCCCCCTCGCTATTTTTTCCCGTTATTTCAAGCAGTGCTAGGAAATAGTGGGCTAATTGGTCAATAAACAAGCTGAGCTGCTTTCACAAGAAACGTCCTTCCTATGTTTCCCATGCAGTTACAAAGTTGAATCTGTTTTTTGTCTTAAAAAAAAAAAAAACCAAACAGCCATACAAACAAACAAAAAAACCTTCTGGTGATAGGAATAAAAGGTTCCAAATTGGCAGCTCTGGAGACTAAAAATTTCATATCCATGGAACAACAGCTGCTCAGATA